TTGGCCAAGAACCCATTGGGTCGGAGAGAATCCAGCAACTGATGGTGTGCCATTAATCTGGGGCACGCAATAAGTGAGCGCCTCCTTGATGCCAGAGGCGTCAGTCAGCTGCATGTCGTCCATGTAGACCTCAACGGACTTGCGAAGGATGGCATGTCTTCGTTCAACGATGGCCAGACGTTCATGCGCTTCACCAGCTACAACTGTTTGTTCGATGCCGTGGGCATTGGTCCAGGACTCAATGACCAAGCGCAGCTGTGGTGCTCCAAAGTGTGCAACCCAACAACGTTCAAGACCACGGATGTGCTCCTCGGATTGCTCTGAGCGCAACAGAACGGCTGCTGTGTAGCAAGTTGCCAAATCAACCACTGAGGATGGGGTACTTGATGGTGTTCTTGAGGCGCAGCCAGAAGACATCTGCTTGTAGAACATCGTTGAACTTGGTACTCACTGGAAGAGATGCGGGTGCAGCATCAGCAGGCTTCTTGTACTTGGCGCATGCAACACAGACATAGGATCGGGCAGCGCGGAGTACTTCTTCATTTGCTCCTCTGGCGGCTAGTAGTTCCGTGAGCTCCTTTGTGGAGGGGTGACCAAGATTTCTGTGAAGACGTTGAACCACTCAAATGGCTTCTTGTTTTGTATCGGCGCGCAGCTTGACCAAGTTGCCAGTCACCAGCTTCTGCTCCGAGGACGTGTGGGCTGTCTCCCAAGCCTGAGGTGCCTCATCGATGAGCAGCGCAGAAGCAATGGTGCTAGCAAGAGCAGGCTGGTAGTTCTCCATGTACTTGGTACGAGGGCCAAGACCAAGAGCAGAACCTTCCAGTGCACAATGGTCGTGATCACCATTGCACGCCAGAGTGAGGGCATTCTGCATGGCCTGCTTGGTGGTCATGAAGGTAGTGCTCTTCTTGACTGGGCGCCAGACCATATCTTCATCTTGACAGGTCGCTCCATAGCGGCATTGATCAAAGTCGGCGCGTCGACCAGGCAAATCACGGAGTGCCTTGGTCTTCCAAGAGAGTGCATGCTTAGGTTGTTCCACATGGGCATGTCGACTACCTTCAACCTGCTTGAGGTAGGCGCGACGCAAAAAGCAGAGATGGCGGTCATGGTGGTGGTGTCGAGCTGCTACCAGAGCTTCTTGTTGAGCAGGTGTTCTTCGTGCCAAGGTCTGCATGCGACTCCAGAGCTTGCACTCGGGTGCTATGAGTAGTTCATCAGGTGCTTCTTCATCAAGCTCGCGAAGGAAAGCTTCTTGATGATCAAGTCGATCGAAGTTCCAGCCTGTGTCCAGCGAAAATCCCAAGTGCTTCAGCCACTTGTGAAGTACGAGCTGCGCCACAGTAGACCTCCCACAAGACACGTTTCGGTTGTTGTTCTGGAGGATGCAGGTGACGTGTCACATAGGCTGACAGCTCGTTGAGGTGTGTTCTCAACTGAACGTCCATGGTGTTGAGGTCATGACGTCGAAGAGATGTGGTGGCATTGTCATCCATAGCTTCAGCTCGTTCGCTGACCGTGAATCCCTGTTCTTCCTGTTCGAAGTCGTTCAAGGTGAAGCCATCAACTTGTGGAAGATCAGGCTCAGCGGTCTTGAGGGCAAAGTCAGGCTGGTCGGGGTCGTACTGCGTGAGGTCATGCTCCATTGTGAGCGAACGCAAAAACTCACCTTGTCGGCCGATGGTTGCCTCTTGCCAAGTGGAACTGCCGATGCGGATGCGCTTCATGGCAAAGTCCATGGTCACGCCAAGAGCCTCAATGATGGGGCGACCGCGCAACATTGGCGTATTGCCAGGCAGGAGAAACAATTGCACCGTTCCATATATCGGCCATCCAAGAACGCCGGAAGGTGGGCGGACCACGTAGACCAGGATGCAGCATCGCCACCGAACTGGAATCTTCGTTTTCCTTGGGTCATAGCAATCTTCTCGATGGGGAAGTTGCAGTCAAACTTGAGGTGCTCCAAGTAGCGACGGAAAGGACCATATCCTGAGAGAAAGGCACTGGCACCAGGATCCAGCATCACGCAATCAGGTCGCTGAGTGCCGTTCTTGTCCTCGAAGATGATCAGGGCCTGTTCGGCCACCTGTGCCATGCTCTCGGTAGGTGCAGGTCGCTTCAAGCCGGAGCCCTTGGAGGTAGGCGAACTGGATTGTGGACAGATGGCAGCCCAATGACCTTGTTGTCCACATCGTAGGCACGTCATGTTGGCGCGTGCTCTACCTTTTGGATCACTCTTTCCAGCCATGAGGAGCCACGACCCTTTCCTTTGTTCTTTCCTCCCTTTCCTTTTCCTTTTCTCTGCCATGAGGATGCCATAGGGGATGAGGACGAGGAAGCTGCTGTCTGCAGTGGCTGCTGTCGCTCGGTCAATGCAACCACGGGAAGAAAGCCACGAGCCATCTTCAACTCATTGAAGCGTTTGCGAGCGTCAGTGTAGGAGGCGAAGGCAGTGTCAAACTCTTCAGCCTTCATCATCAAAATCACCCTCCTCAGGGTCGTAGTCCCCAATAGGGTAGTCCTCCTCATAGTAACCAGTCTCTTCCCAAGCTGGTTCTTCACCCATCTCCTCCCAGTCGTCCTGAGCTGCATAGGCCTTGCCGGTCCACTCGGAGAATCGCCGATTGCGGTCGTGGTTCCAGCCTCCACCCTTATAGTCTTGCCCAAGGATCAGGTACAAGGCCTCTATGACGGCGGCCTTCTCGAGGGTGGGAGCCTTGAGCATCAGGAGCTGTCGCTGCTCCCGTGTCAGGGAGGCGCGACGAAGGAGGTGCCAACCTTGAACTGCTTCTGGAAGGCTTACCTTGTGAGCCAAGAGCTTCCTGTAGGCCTCTTCATGGTCATTGACGTAATTGAGGAGCGTCTGACCAGGGAGCCGTTGAAGACCAGTGAAGTAGCCTTCGAAGTCCGATGGCAACTGGACCCGTTGGTCGTAGGCGAAGTTGCCATCCAACAGTTTGAGCATTTCCTCAAAAGCATTGTCCTTCTCCAGCTTGTCGAGGCCCCAGTCTTCGAACAAACGCCAGACTACACCTTTGAACGATCCAACAATGTTCAAAACGCTCTCTTGGGACCGTTTGGAGAGCGACATCTTGCGGTGGTAGAGCTGGATGCGTTGACGCCACTCCTTGTAGTCGGCCGGCTGCCCCGAGAAGAGGGGGACATAGGAATCCCGAAGGTCGGCGTAGCCAGTTTCTTCTGACTTGGATGCCATCGAGCTCGACGCTCCTCCTCCACCTCCCTTCTGCTGCTTTGGCGGCGGCATTCTGTGGGACAAAGATCTCCGCCGTGCTCCTCCCAACAGGGTATCCAGCAAAGAACTCAAGAAACAGGAGCGTGGCCAGGTCCGCAGAGGGAAGTCACCGAAGGACTTGTCGAGAGCGCGCGGCTCGAGGAACCGGAGTGCGCAGCTGGAGCCCTCCCCCTTCACGGGTTTGGGCTCCGCTACCAATGCGAAGCTATCAATGGCTAACGAGGTCCAAAGTAGCGAAGGGTGTGAAGTCGAGGTCCAAGTGGTCAACACTAAGGAGGTAGTCAGGGCCAAGACACACCACGAAGCGAATTGAGGAGCGCTCGCCCCGCCCTGCGGTAGCGGGACGGTTGGTGACATGTTCAAAACATGTTGTACAGCGTACAATTCACACAAAGGCAAAAGTCGCAGGCTTTGGCAGGTCTCCATAGATTCCCAAAGCTTCATTTCAACATACTTTGTCTTAAGAACTTGTCAATTTTTTTGTGATTTCAATCTTTTCTGAGCTTGTTAAGGTTCCCTCCACCTTTGTGATGCTAAGACCGTGGGTGCCTTTCTCGGGTTTTCTGGGGAAACTGCCAAACAAAAAGGTGACTGAATTCTTAGCATCGTAGCTTTAGATGTTTTTAGCCTGCTCCGTTTTTCATTGCCCATGCCGATTCGAACAGAGGAGACCTTTTGATATAAGACTTCTCAACAAAAGATGTGGCCAGGATTATATTGAATATTGGCACGAATGGACTAGCACTTGGAGAAGAAAACCATTGCAATACAAGGGGGGCTCTTTTTACAGAAGTAGTCTCGTGAAGGAAACGGTGCTTGCAAGAGCCTTTGCAAAAGGAAGTTCTTCTATTTGTCAAGATCAACCTTATACCAATTGGCAAGGTTTTGATGAAGGAGAAAACGGGATACTTGAGGAAGTGTTCATTTCCAAGAAAAGAAAGGCTTCAAAGCACTACTCTTTCGAGAAACCTTTGTAAACGAACAACCGCCTGTGTGTAAGGCTTTTTGAAAGTAGGGGAGTATGTGAAGAAATCATTTTTTGGAGAGAGAGCTTGAACATGTTTGAACCTCAAAGCGTGTTCGTCTCTGCAAGAACTCTGGACAAGCACTCTGCAAAGGTAGATTTTGGTGATTACTATATGGTTATATGCATACATACATGGGATTTCGTTGAGGTTCAGTCTTCGAGATTCCATGACAAGGGTGTCAGTCATGCCATTTGCCCCAAAATTGCACCGGTGGTGCCTTTGGCAGCACGTCACAGCACGTTGTGCCGCTGTATGACATTTGCATTTTCAACCTCTTTCCAAATCCTGCGAGAAACTGTGACTTTGTCTTAGATCGAGAGTGTGTGGTGAAGCCAGATTGACGATGAAGGTAGGGTGCTCCTGGGTCCTTTTAGAGTACAAGACTGACTCTCGTAGGGCTGCGAGAACATGCGTTTCAGAGCATGTCTTCCTCATTATTGCTGAACAGTTAGAAGCTTAGAAGTGTGCACAGCCACTTGGCCACACTGCGAAGCAAGCAACTTCATGCTAAACTTGTACCCATTCAAGCTTTCTGCAAAAAGGTCTGCAAGCTCTCTGCCGGCACTGCAAGATTCTGCCTCCCCAAATATAGAGACAGAATCAAAAGAGAAAAGCCAAGAATCGAGAGTGAAAGCTTTCAAGCAGACATCTCAAATCTTTCAGACTGTATCGAGAAGAGAAGCCTTGACCAGTTTCAGAGAAGCCTTGAAGCGAAGGATGTGCTGCAGCTGGTGGAGCTTCTCAGTCCAGATCTCACGCCTGCATTGGCCAGAGAGGTGGGACGGCAGGATGAGGAAGCACCAAAGCACAGTACAAGTAGTTCCCGGGCAAGCCGGCAGCGGAAGATTCCAAAAGAATAACCCTATAGGAAATGGGCATGTGGCAGGCTGACTCGCCGAGCTGCGATGTTCTTTGACAAAAGAAGTTGGCCCGACCAATGGAGCGAAAGCGAAGCAACCACCGTAAACTGTCTCGCAGGAAAAAACCGTTGTTCGTGCATTTTGCAAAATACAGAATAGAGATGACTCAGCCGCGTAGTAAAGGTACTACAAAGTCGCCAGTTCTCAGCTTCCAGCTGCTGCGCGGCTTGCTCCACGTACTAAAGTTGTACTACAAAGTCGCCAGTTCTCATCTTCCAGCTCGCCAGCTACTCCGCGTACTAAAGTTGTACTACAAAGTCGCCAGTTCTCATCTTCCAGCTCCCCAGATACTCCGCGTACTAAAGTTGTACTACAAAGTCGCCAGTTCTCAGCTTCCAGCTCCACAGATTGCTCCGCGTACTAAAGTTGTACTAGAAAGCCGCCAGTTCTCAGCTTCCAGCTCCCCAGATACTCCGCGTACTAAAGTTGTACTACAAAGTCGCCAGTTCTCATCTTCCAGCTCCCCAGAAACTCCGCGTACTAAAGTTATACTACAAAGTCACCAGTTCTCAGCTTCCAGCTCCACAGATTGCTCCGCGTACTAAAGTT